CTTTGGCTGCTAATCTGCGTCATCATAAGGATATTCGCCGAATACAGGTCACTAGTATACCACAGGATGCAATCCTAGTTTGCTCTCTATTTGTTGATGACCTTTCCCTTATGGTTGATGCTACTCATGAGAACATGGTAGAAATTCAAAATTTGATGGATAGGTTTTGCCGCCTCTCTGATATGAAAGTCAATTGGGGTAATAAAACAACTGGTTGGTGGATTCATGATCAAGGAGGAAGACCTGCAGAATTACCAAGGATAAAATGGTTGGCTCTGGATACCCCTATAAGGGTGTTAGGAATTTCTCTTTCTGCTGAAGGGAAACCTAAGAATCATAATGAATGGATATCCCAACCAGATCAGGCAAAAATGGAAGTGTGGAAGAATAAACATACCTCTATTTTTAAGAGATCGATGATCATTAACAATGTCTTCTGGCATCTATTTGGTACAAGTCAGGGATTTGGGCTATGGACAAAGATTTCCTTAAATCTCTTCAACGTCAACTGACTGTCTTTTTATGGAGGGGAAATCATGAGCACAATGGTGTCATCAGTCGGGTAGCTTGGCAATCTATTATCCAACCAAAAGCTTGGGGTGGCTTGGGGATTCTTGATCCTTCAACCCAGACCAAAGCTCTCTCAATTCAATGACTTCAACGCTTATTATTCATCCCACAGACTTCATGGGCACCTTTAGCTTTGGAACAAATTAAACGCCTAGCCCCTTCTACAGCAGAGGAAATTGACCCGTTAACTTGGTTGGAGAACAATTCCTGGACTATTCTTAGGGGGATTTCTAAGCCATCAACAACATCCACGATTTCAAGTAGGAAAGTTGTGAGACAAGACTTAAAGAATGACCCATTTTGGGTCTCTATGTTGAGAACCTGGAGACAACTTCCCCTTATTGATAAGGTATCGCCAGAAAGGTGGGAGGAAGTGTGTCAGCAGCCCCTATTTGATAACAGATGGATTCGAGATTCTCAGGGTTATGTTCTCCACTGTATGCACTCTCCTTGGAAGGGATGGGTTAGGAATGGTGTCATAAGGATAAAGGACATATGGGATAAAGATACTAAGGATTGGATAACTCTACCTAATGTTAAGGGGAAGCTAAGGTACAGTCATCATCAGTTGGAATCTCTGGAGAAGATAATTGAACTCATCCCCCTTGAATGGATTCGTATTCTCAGGGGAGGCCCTAAATTTGTTCCGAATGATTGGGTAGCTCTCAAGGCCCAACCCAAGGAAATCGGCATAATTCTTGACAAAGATCAAAATGGAAGGTTTCTATTACATATATTTTCTTTGTCCTCAACCAATATTGCAATCCAGATAGGTCAAGGGAAAACGAGATGGGTCCAGGATCAACAAATCTTCAGAATCAGGGTTTTCAGGAGTAAGGACTCTTGGGTAGCCTTCAAACCAGACTGTCCCATCTCGGAACTCCCTCTTGACCCAGCTAACTGGGTATGGAGCTCGGCGATGAAAAAAGGTAGCCACAATAGATCATTTATGAGAAATATCCACTCACTCAAAGTCAAATCAGCGTACCGTATGCTGCGTCCCAGAATCAATCTGAAAGATAGGGTCTCTGCTAGATGGATGAAACATCTTAATATAAGTAAGGAGGAGTTGAGATCGGTCCGCTGGTTCAAATCAGTCAAAGACAAACCAGCAAAATCAGCTTCTCTCCAATGGTAAATTGAACATAAATGTCTTCTAACTAATGATTGGCTCATTGACAGATCTTCCTTAGAGCAAAAAGGATTAGCGGCAAGATGGTGTAAACTTTGTAAATCTGCTTTCCCCAGTAGAATATCTCCAGAAACCATAGAGCATATCTTTATGTAGTACCCGGGTTCAATATGGCTTTGGAGGTGGTGGGACCGTATCTGGTCACAACTTGTCCCACAAGTCAAATGGCCATGGGGATGAAAAGTTATCCTTCTAGAAACTTGGAGCCCGGATCCAGAATTAGTAGAAGGAAATGAGGAATTTGTGGATAATCTGTTCCAAATTGGGAGACGAGCAGTGATGTGGGCTATTTGGATGAGGAGATGCACGTACGAATGGGAAGGGGCTAAGCTAGATGGCCCAGATTTCACAGATAGTATTAAAGAACAAATTCCAACTGACATTTTGATAAGGTGGGATTATATAAAAGAAAAAGTTCGATTTTTATCAGATAAAACTGAAATTCAGAATCATTTTCGAAAATTAACAAGTAAATGGCTGGGCGGAAACTAGGGAAGGAGAATAGGGAGTGTTGTTTGGAGTGGGGCAATGAATGATGATAATGCTGGGCTCAAAAGAGACTATAAATTGGTTTTTGATGATTGGACCACCATTGAGGCTGCAGTACCTATGCGCCCTTTTTCAGATTTTCCTGATCCCTTCCCTCCCCCTGCTTCTACTCTAGTTCCAAGCTCTTGGTATGGTCTGTAAGGGGCATCTTTGCTTTCTTCCTGGGCCAGTATCTGGTGCCCTGAAAAAGGTTGTTTTACCAAATTATTCTGCAGTTGGGTATGTCAAAACAAGTGTCATCACTTTTGTCAGAATTAGCTATTCAAACTTAGTACCAGGTATATGATGGGAAATCTGGCGCCACTCAGATGAGGGTGAAGAGGTACAGGGGACGCAAGGCCCGATTCCCAGCATCTTTGGTTTCTATTGCTCAACATTATATGTCAAGGGACGCTGGACCCGCTTTCCAGCAGGTGCAGCTCCCCACCAATAGATTGGAGCCCCTGGTGATGCTGGTAGGAGTGGATGCTCTTATCAGCACTCCTATCAGTAATCAGTAGGAGAATTAAAAAAAAAAAAAAAAAAAAAAGGAATACCTGTACCTGACCTAACCACACCCTCTTTGAAAACTAACCACCCATACCCACTGTATACCTAGCCTGCCAGACCTTTACCCATCTCCTCCTGCTAAAAAAAAAAAAAACTACTTCGAAACCTACCCTGCCTAAACCTCTTAAGCATGTAACTGACCATACCTACCCATGAATAATTTTTTTCAAAACCACCCATGGCCACCTGAACCCAAACCGTTTCTTAACCACCCATACCCTACCCTACGCAAGTTTTCTTTACCTGTACCCACCCGTACCTACCCATACCTACCCATACCGGCCCCAAGAAATATTTGGTCTTTACTCATCAATCAAGTTCCATCATCCGGCTTCGAACACGGGTCTGTATTTTCAGCAGTTCATGGGTGTACCCACTGAGCTAGGCTCTTGGGTAGTTCATTTTTATTTTTATTTTGCCTCTTTGGATTTTTCGCCTGTTTTCTTGTCCACGAAAGTCTAGTGTGCTAGATGGGAGTCGCTGTGCACTCCCTTGAAGACCTGTAGTAGCATCGCCGGATCCCTGCAACGGATTGCAGGATGTGGGCGAATCCACGTAGTAGTTCAGTGGCCGGGGTGATGATCGCTGCGTTTTTAACTTTTTAGTGCTGGGTACGTGGCGACCGTGATCGCCAGTGCTCGAGCTAGGAAGGGCGTGTTGATGGTTGATCGGGTGGCTTGGGGCTATAGTTCGGGAGTGAAAGGCATTGCGCCTTGTCTTCTTGTTCTTCTTCTTGCTATTGTTGGAGTCAAGTTGTCTGGAGCTGTATCGACCCCTGTACGACCCCCAACCCAAAAAAAAAGAAAAAGAAAAAAAGAGGGGGCTTGTAGAGCGTTTCATGAATGTTTGCGGTGCTTGCATTGGCCCGCCGGATAGATGTGATGACGATGCTGCATTCTCATTGTCCCATGGCCACTTTGTGATGTGTTGGTGTTGCATACCGTATAGGTGCAGACCAGAACAAGAACCGACCTTTCAATACAAAGTATAAGA